AGGCCACCAGAGCTCGCCTATATGTTTTTTTCTAATATTACACTGATTTATTTACAAAGTTTGAATACATTGTTTTCCACCAAAGATCCTATTTCCTTCACCTCACCCACCCATCAAATTGTGCAACGCTATTATTATATCAGTAATATGTTTGTTTGTTTGTTTTAACTATGCAACCTGCAAACAACAAATGCTGGCGAGGTTGTGGAGAAACTGCAACTGTTATTCACTGTTGGTGGGAGTATAAAATGGTGCAACCACTAACCACTATAGAAGGCTGTATGGCGCTTTCTCAAAAAGTTGCAAATAAAAATACCATTTGACCCAGCTATTTCACTACTTGGAATATACCCCAAAGAAACCATAACTGCCACCCAAGCAGATATATGCACACCCATGTTTACTGCTGCTTTGTTCACAATAGCAAAGAGTTGGAAACAACCTAAGTGCCCATCAACAAACAAATGGCTAGAGAAGCTGTGGTATATTCACACAAAGGAATAATATGCTGCATTGAAAAACAAGGAACTCATGAAATATTATGCAAAATGGATGACCCTGGAGGACATCATGCTGAGTGAACTATCTCAGTCACAAAAGGACAAACACTGCATAGTGCCACTGTTGTAAAATGGGACTGACATAGGGGTTAGGGGAAGACTGAGAAAGATGGGATAAATTATGCATACTGCATTGAAACAGATGAGGGAGAGGAATGTTTAAAAGGTATATATGATTAAGTGTTATTGTCATGACAAGAGTCCAGAAAAAAGGCTGCATAGAGGAGTGAACTTGGGGGGAGGGATTGCATAAAAAAGAATTTTTCTTTTACTTTTCAAAGAGAAGAATGAACTGGAGGGGAGGGGTGGGCAGGGAGAAAAGCACAACAATAAATTAATGGAAAACCAAAATCTCTGCAAATTTTCATTAAAATAAATAATAATAATAATAATAATAACCCTATGCAACCCACCTTGTGGTAGTATTACATCTGAATGACATTATTCCAGTGAGGTGCCCTGTGTGACAAATACCTGTGTTAACTGCAGAGAAGAGCTCGTCCTAAGCAGTAAGTACGACTGGAGGAACAGCAGTGTAGACAAGAGGGGCTGGTGATCAAGACTGGACAGTTCACATGGAGAAGAGTGGGGAGGGGTTAGAACCATGGTCCACGTGCAAACGTAGAGATTCCTCTGGAAGATCATATGTGTGAGGAGGGACAGAGGAGGGAAGGGTGTGCCTAAGACTTTTCGCCTCAATAATTGGAAGGAGAGTGTTGACATCTCTGAGATGGTAAATGCCAACAGGAGTGGGCATTTGCGAGAACATCAGGTTCTCAGTTGCGGGGATGCTAAGTCCGTGACCCGCCATCCGCCTGCCAGTTTTCCACACTGTGGTGCCTTACTTGTTGCTGTGATGCTGGAAGCAGTGTCCCCAGAATTTCAAATACCAGTAGGGTCACCCATGGTGGGCAGGTTTTGGCAGAGCTTCAGACTGAAAGAGACCAGGAAGAAAGACCTAGAAATCTGCTTCTGAAAATTAGTGAATGAAATCTGATGCTCACAGAACGTTGGCTAACACACTTTGGATGCTGGAGAGTGAGATGCTTGTTAGAGTGATGGGTCAGTGATATTGAGAGAAGCCAGGAGCAAGACAGATTGATACAATGGCTACAACGGCACCACAATCATACCAATGATCGTAAAGATGGTGGCCACCAAGGCCTCCTAGAGAAGGTGGTGTTTGATTGTTGTTGTTATTGTATGTCGTTGAGTCAAAGCTGATTCATAGCTGACCCTCCAAGAGGGTTTTCAGAGGCAATACTCACACAGGAGGAGATGGCCCATCCTTCTCCTGTAGAGCAGCTGGTGGAGTCAAACTGTGTGCCTTTGGGATTGCAGTGCAGATTCTTATCACTAGGCCACCAGAACTCTCTGACTTTTGATTAGTGACCTGAAAGTGCTGAGGGAAGCACCATTTGAATCTGTCACACATTCGGGATCTTCCCATTCCACAGTGCACGGAGCTGCCTTAAGTTGGATCCTTCTTGTTGGTAACTAACAACCACAACAAAGCTTGGTGGCTTATAAGGCAGCCAAGCAGAGAAGACAGGAACAGCAGGACAGAAAGTCAGATGAGAGCACTGGGTTGGTATTACATTTAGGAGCCATCAGAATATAGATAGGAAGATAAAGACTTGCTTTTTATTTTCTATGCAAAGGCATTCAGCTGTGTGGAGCACAATAAATTATGAATAACATTCTAAAGCATAGGAATTCCATAGCACTTAATTCTCATGCAGAACCTGAACATAGACCAAGAAGTAATGTTTGCACAAAACAGGATATTGACTGGCTTAAAAAGAGGAAAGGTGTGCATTACAGTTGTATCTTTCATTACACTTATTTAATCTGTGGGTTTAGCAAATCATTTAAGAAGCTGAATGATATGAGGAAGGATGTGGTCTTAGGATGGAGGAAGACTTATTAAAAACCCTGTGATATATGGATGACACCATTTTTCTTGCTAAAATCTGAGAAATCTCAAAGCATTTATAGATAAACATGAAAAAGTCTTCAATATGGATTACACTTTAACATAAAGAGAACAAAAACCCCACTACTGGCCCAATGAGCGACATCATGATAAGTGGAGAAAAGATTGAAGCTATCAAGGAGTTCGTTTCACTTGGATCCACAACCAGGGAAGCAGCAGTCCAGAGAAAATGGTATATTGAGCAAACGTGCTGCAAAAGACCTCTTTATAGCGTTGCAAAGTAAAGATACCACTTTTAGGAATTACGTTCCCAAACCAAGTCATAGTATTTTCAATCATCTCATAAGTATGTGAAGGCCAGACAATGAATAAGGAACAATTGGGAAAACCAATGCCTTTGAATAATAAGGTTGTCCAAGAAGGTTGACTATCAAAGAATGTTGACTGCCAAAGAATGTTGACAGCTAAAGAATGAACACTCTTGGGGAGAAAGTGGTCCCAAGGGTGAAGCTCTTGGAGCACCCCAATGTTGATGGTCAGGGAGGCAAGGAGACCACCAGAGGGACAAGCACTGAGAACTGATGACTGTATTAGGCAACGTGGGGTCACACACTAGAGACCTGGGCAAGGGCTTTTCTTCTGGAGTGGCCAGAGCGAGAGCTTGGGTGAAAGAGTTTATGAGATAATGCTGGAAGTGAACTGAGGCAGTGCAGACAGACTGTCTTCTTTAGGGGCTGGCTGTAAGAGGAAGGAAAAGAGGGCAGAGCTGGAGAAGGAGGGGGAGCCTAGACTGGACTTAATTCTAGGATTGGAGGCTGCAGCATCTTGTATGTTGATCGAGTGGTCCAGCAGAAAGGACACTGGTTCCCAGCACAGAGAGGATTGGACAGACCAGCATCCTGCCCAGCTAGATGGGACAGGCAGCTATGGGGTTTGACCAGGAGGTTGGCAGGGCCTGGATCCAGAGAAACAGGCCATGCCTCGCCGCATGCACCCAGGTCAGGGAGCAGATGGTCAGGGAGGGTGTGGGGAAGTTCTTTTCTGCAGGCTCCTACCTTTCCTGAGTGACGTAGAATCAAGATGATCAGCTGAACTTAGAAATTCCATATGACCCAGCTACTCCAATTGCTTGGAATCTACCTCAAGAAAACGAGAACTGAGGCTCAAACGGAGACTTGTACACAAATATTCATAGCAGCATTATTCACCATTGCACGAGCATAGAGACAGCCCAGATGTCCAACCACAAACGAATGGATAGAGAAGTTGTGGTACGCTCACACGATGGAATACTATGCAGCACACAGGAGCAATGATTTTGTAAATTACTCCCTAACTAGGGAGGGACTGGAGAGTATTATGCTGATCGAACTCAGTCCCACAAGGACAAATACTGTATAAAACCATTATTGTAGAATGAGTATGAGAATCAAAGGTGGGGAGGAGAGTAGGGTGGGATGATAATCAGAGGTTGCACAATTCGAGGGGGGCTGTGAAGGAAATGGGAAGGATCTTTTGAGAAAAACAATGTATTCAAACTTTGTCATCAAGTCAGTATGCTGTTGTTGTTGTTGTTGTTATGTACTGCTGAGTTGCCTGAGATTCATAGCAACCCTATGTACAACAGTCCTAAACTCTGCCCCATCCTGTGCCAATCTCACCATCTCCAACACACCTGCCCCATTATTACCCCAGTCACTGAATCAATCCATCTCATCGAGGGTCTTCCAAAAAAGGTGATATGCTGAGAGAGAGGATGGAACTGGGAGGTAGTCAAGGATAGAGAAAACAGGAAATTATAAGATGTAATGTCTAAGAGAATCGGAAAGAGAACGAAAGTGCCTGACGCCAGAGTGCTGGGTGGTGGGGAGAGTTCACCTCTGCTTATCACGGTCCTCAGGAGGGAAAGGTGGCCAGGAGCACCCATGAACCCTAAATGAATCTCTTCAGTTATTCCCAAATATGTTTCCCACTTTGATCAGAGCCATTGAGTTGGACAGTTAACTGCTGTGAATTTTGAGTTTGACCTCTTCTGCAAAAAGGAGCCCTGGGGCCACAGTGCCTAAGTGTTGAGATGTTAATGGAAAGATTGGTGGTTCAAGGGAAAAAGATGTACAGTCTTGGAAGCCTTATGGTGCAGTTCTGCTCTGTCCTGCAGGGCTACTGGGAGTCAGAATCAACTCGTGGTGTGTGTGTGTGTGTGTGTGTGTATGCATGCGCACACATATCTGCTAAGCCAATGGAGGACAAATAGGTAGTGAACAGGTAAGGAAACAGACATAATAAAGAAGCTGGCTAATGTACAAGCAGCAAAGTGAGCCCAGAAGCACTGGGAACTGCCTCAAGTCAGTCCAAATTAAATCTGGATCTGGGCAGCTTGACGGGATGCTGGTCTGAAAGACAAAGGTGTGTTTCTTATTTAGCCTGGTAACAAATTCTCTAAGTTAAACCAGAAGCAAAAACTCCATATGCTTCCTTCACCTTTCCAGAAGTAATTTTCTTACCTGGAAGTTTTCCTTGATCCTCTCAGGGCTAAAACTTTTAGGAATGACGACCACTCCTCGCTGGATGTTGAAACGCAAGGCCACCTGGGCTGCAGTCTTATTGTACTTCCTCCCCAGTGAGTTCAAATATGCATCCTTTAACAGAGGTGGAGAAGATACATTCACCCTTAAAGCAAAAAATATCAAAACATGTCAGCAAAAGGCAGCACTTGCCCTGAGATAAAGCTCAGAAATTGGGAAGGGGTCAGATAAAGGGGTGAGTGGAAATAAGAATCACAATGTGGGCATTGTCGTCAATATTAGAAACCAAAGTGCATATGGATGATTGAACAATAAAACATTTGTTTTTGTAAAGTTTTGCTCAAATCACAATTGTTGTTGCTGTGTACCATCCAGTCGGAACTGACCCATACCTGACCCTCTGGTGGGTTTTCAGAAGTAGTTAATTACATGAGAGGAGACTGCCTGTCCTTCTCCTGCAGAGCAGGTGGTGGCCTTGAACCGCATGCCTTTGGGATTGCAGTGCAGCTCCTTGCCACTAGGCCACCAGAGCTCCCAAATAAAAAGAGAAGAAAAACTAAATAAAAAGTTAAAACAAGCATCGTGTTTAGGTGAGGAGAACCCATGACTATTCAGTGTTATGCCTTCCCTCTTCCTGTCTCCCCTTTACCTTGGCACTTGCCAGGACATTCTCAGTCACTGTACCCACCTCTCTGTGCGCAGACTATTCCTTGAGAATGGGACTGTCCTTGGGGTTGGGGAGAGACTGAGTAAGATGGGTTCAATAATGTATACTGCACTGAAACAGAGGAGGGAGAGAACTGTTTAAAAGAGATATGTAACTGGGTATTTCTGTCATCACAGGAGTCTAGAGCGAGGGCTGCATGGTGGAGGGGACCTGGGGGAGGGTTTGTAAAACAATGAAAGAATCTTTTCTTTTACTTTTCCATAATTTTTGGACTCATGTACTTGTTAGTCAAATTTGTGTCTTCTAGGTTGCAACACCCCCATGATACATCTTGAAGGATATGTACATGTACAGCCAAGCACAATCAATAAGAGTGCATCTGAATTCCAAAATCAATCTCCATAATAGTCTATGTGTTTCCTACTGCCAAAGGGGCCCTTTAGAGTAGTGAGAGAAGATCTTCACCCTGAAACCCACAGCGTCCCTTTTCAGCAGGAAGTAGCTAAGAGAATACGCCATCCCCTTTTCCTTATGACTCAGGGTGAAGTCTCTCTCAGGGAGGAGTGATAGGGAATGGCAAAGGACACACTGACAAAGAAGATTAATCAGAACTGGCTTTGACAAGCACTGTGGCATTTGGACAAGAACAAACTGGGAGGAGGGTAGAGAGAATAGTGCAACAATGAATGAGTGGAAGCCCAAAATCTCTGTAAATGTTTATGAAAATTAATAAAATATAATTATAGAAAAAAAAAGAGAAAGGTTTTATCTGTTGTTCACAGGGGCACTATGAGTTGCAGTCAACTCAGCTGTACCTAATAGCAACACCAACTTAGTTGTTGGCCAGTCAAGACAAGTAAATCTGTAGAGTGGCCTCTTTACCAGATGCCAGTGGTATTTAGCTGAGTGTTAGAGAGAGGGCTGGGCTGGACGTGGGTACATGGGGAGAGGCGGGAACAAACAATTGAAAGACAGAGCAAAACTCTTGAAATTAGCTTAGAGGAGATAAATTTCTGCTGAAGCCTCTAGAAAACATCAGTGTACAGGTGCTCCCGCTGACATGAGGGGCTGTTGTTATTGTTAGGTGCCATCGAGTTGACTATGACACACAGAAACTCTATGAAAACCTTGTCCTGTCCTGCACCATCCTCATAATCTCCGATACACTTAAGCCCACTGTTCCAGCCACTGTGCCAATCCATCCTGTTAGGGGTCGTCTTCTCTTTGCCTCCACCTTTCCCAACATGATGTCTTTTTCCAAGGACTGGCCCTTCCTGTCAACATGCCCAAAGATGAAGGTTCTCCATCAACAATCTGATTGTGCATCCTGCAAGACTGACGACCGTTCCAGAAATATGCCCATGGAAATATTTCCCACACAATATTTGTACACACACTTACTGAGACATAGACACATTTCAGAATGGAGGCACTCCTATCAGATGTGAGAATGAGGGAACCAAAGTGTGTTCCTAGGATGCAGAAGGCGAGGAGACAAAGTGTCGATTCGTGGGAAGAATGTGTCAAGAAGTGGACAGTTTGCCAAAGAGTGTTCGCAACTGTAATCGTGCATGACCACAGGAGCTGGCACCATTCCCTCCCTCCCTGCCAAGTGGCCAACCTTAACATTCCAAAGGCATCCAGCCTGAAGCAGATCTTATCTATCATCAATCATTAACCTTATTAGGGGTTCAGCTGTGACTACCCAAAATATTTGTCTACCTGACTGCATTATGTAAACATACTGTGTGATCCTAACCTCCAAGATGTCAATGTGGCAGGCGTAGAGGTATTATATAATTCTGTAATCATCTCCCATGATGCAACCCGAGATGTGGTCAGCTAGTCACGGAGATTGAGGGGATGCCTAACCTTTACTCTAGTCATAGCTGTGGCCTCATGGAAGAGGTGTTTCCTTGGAGTGTGCCCTTTGTCACCTTTTGTGTTACAAGCAATAAAAGGAAAAGGAAGTGAGCAGAGACGAGAAGAAGCTCAGTGCCACCAAAAAAGAAGAGTTAGGCGTAGAGCGTGCCATTTGGGTCCAGGGTCCTGTGCTGGGAAACTCCTGGAAATGGGACACACAGAGGAAGTTGTCCCCTCGAGTCGGAACGCTGTATTTGGACTTCTAGGCTCCTCATTTGTGAAAGCAGATCTGAGAGGTGAACAATGAATAAGGATGAGTAAGGAGAATCAATGCCTTTATGTTGTGGTATTGGTGAAGAATTCTGAATATCCCATGGACTATTGAAAGAACAGATATGCCTTGGAAAGGTGCAGCCAGAATGCTCCTTAGAGGCAGGGACGGTGAAGCTTCATCCCACATACTATGGGCATCTTGTTAGGAAAGGCTATTCCTTGGAAAGGGACATGATGCTTGGAAAGGTTGAGAGTTGGGAAAAGAGAGGAAGACCCTCAATCAGATGAATTGACACAGGGACTGTGACACTGGGGTCAAGTATGCCAGAGTTGCCACGTGGGTGAGTTTGACTACCAAATATTTATTCTTTGACAAGTTGTTGTCAGGTGTCATTGAGTCAAGCATGACTAACCATGACCCTATGAAAAGAAATGTGCAGCCTGTCCTATCACTGTGACATCTCTGTTAGAGCAGCCCAAGAGAATCCCCTTTGTCCCTTCTTTTGTTCTCTGTTTATAAATCCCTCTGCCAAATAAGAATTGATGTCATTGAATTGTGGACTTGATAAAGAATATGGAATATACCACAGACAGTCAAAAAACGCAAACAAATTTGTCTTGGATGAAATTCAGCTGGAATTTCCTTAGAAGGAAATACAGTGAGTCTCAATCTGACACACTTTAGATAAGCTATTAGGAGGGGCCAGGGTCTGAAGAAGGACATAATGCTTGGAAAAATGGAGCATCAGCTAAGGAGAAGACACTCAACAAGACAGCTTGGCATGAGGGCTGCAGCATAGACATAAGCAGAAAAGAAATTGTGAGGATGGTGTGAGATCAGGCAGGGCTCCATTCTGTTGTCATTAGAGGCCCTGTGAGCCAAGCTGACTCAAAGGCACCTAACACCACTGCCCCTTGAAGGTGGAAGATGAACCTCGGGAAGATTTCAATATAGAATGTTTGTAAATCTGCTGTTAGGGACCTCTCCAAAGTACTAAAGAGCAATGGTGTCACTTTGGAGACTAAGGTGGGCCTGATGCAGGCCATGGTCTTTGCAATCACTTGCTATGTGTCAGAGAGCTGGACAATGACTAGGGAGGATAGAAGGAGAATTGACGCCTTTGAGCTGTGGTGCTGGAGAAGAGTGTTGAGGGTACCATGGACTGCTAAAAACGAACAGGTTCATCCTGGAGAGGGTTAATCCAGGTTGCTCCTTGAAGACAAGGATTCTGAAGCTTCGTCTAACATACTTTGGACAGGTTGCAAGGAGGGACCGGTCCTTGGAGAGGGACGTCATGCTTGAGAGGGTGGAGGGACAGCTCAGGTGGGGAAGCCCCTTGGTGAAGTGGATTGATTCAATGACTGGGGTAATCAGAGTGGGAGTGTCAGAGACAGTGAGATTGGCACAGGACAGAGCAGGGTTTAGGGCTGCTATACATAGGGTCTCTATGAGTCACAAACAACTCGACAGCACATAACAACAACAACAACAACAGCAACAACAACAACAACTGTCACTCAGTGCTTTCCAGCCTGGGCTTATTACTCCTTAAGGCAACTCTCTTTCCCTCCAAACACAGTACATGATTTCTTTCTTCAGTGAGCATCTCCCATGTTTTCCCCGGCACTGCTAGGCAACTTTATACCGAGTGTGACAGAATCTCATAACATCTGAGTGTTAGGAGCTCTTATTCAATCTGTTAAACAGAGAATGATTTAGAGAATCTAAGTGACTTTTTCTAGATCCCACAGCCAAATAGTCATTCTAATCAGAAAGACAGAACAGCTTCATTATCTGTGCTAAAGGAAATCCTTCCTGAAGAGACACAGCGTTACTTACCAGGATGGGTTCCTGGCAGTTCCCAGGGGGCTGTAGGCAGTGATGATGATGTCATGTTGCTGGCAAAATTTCAAGAGTTTTGGCTGGGTGAAGTATGGGTGGCATTCAACCTATGTGATTCCATTGGACAGCAAAGCATAAAATAAAATCTTTAGATGAATGTGATTTTACACAGCCTTTAAGAAAAGTCTTCAATGAAACCATCATGGATAACAAAGAAAATTGTCAATATTTTTCCCCAACAAGAGAGTATACATTGTTAGTATGCTGGTCAGATTAATTAGAACAAAGTTGGTGAGGATGTCATCTGTGGGTTTATTCCCAAACAGTTAGGGAACAAATTTAATTTTGTATTAACAAGCACTGTTTAACACGCAGTGTTTGAAAGTGGATAAATCCAATTATCTATAGTAAACATTCCAGCAAATATAATTTTCTCAAGCAAACACACATCACTGTGAGTTTCTGAGTACAGTCCTTCTAAGTTGAAATCTCATCCCCTGTCCGTCAGTGTGTCACTGTACTGTGCTGTGTGTGGGTTACTATGACACTGGATGCTGCATCACCAGTATGTTAAACACCAACAGGGTCACCCGTAATGCACACTTTCCAGTGAAGCTCCTGGACTAAGATGGGCAAGAAAGGTCAGCATCTTCTTCCAAAAACCAGCTGTTGAAAACCCTAAGCATCACAATAGGCTATTGTCCACCAGATCCAAACATGTGCATGATCACAAGGATGCTGTGAGACGGGGCAATGTTCCGTTTGTGTACACCCCGGTGTATATTGTTATTGTTGTTATGTGCCGTTGAGTCGCTTGCGACTCATAGTGACCCTGTGTACAACAGCCCTAAACTCCGCTCTGTCCTGTGCCAATCGCACCGTCTCTGACACACCCATCCCGATTATCCCAGTCACTGAATCAAATCAATCCACCTCATAGAGGGCCTTCCCCTCCTGCGCTGTCCCTCCACCCTCCCAAGCATGATGTCCTTCTCCAAGGACTAGTCTCTCCTCACAACATGCCCAAAGTATGATAGACGGAGCCTCAGAATCCTTGCCTCCAAGGAGCCACCCGGTTTAACCCTTGTGTATACACAGGGTCTTTCTCTGGGATTCCCATCACATCTGGGCATTTTCTCCTGATGCCATCTCATTCGGTTCTTAGATTCTCTTCGTCTTCTTTCTTTCTTCCTTCTGATTGACCTCTGTCTCCCCAAATCCCACCATCCTTGCCTTTCAGGAGCACCCCAGGCGCACTTCGTCCGGTACAGATTGCTGGCTCTTTTGGCAGTGTACGGGATACTCAATACTCTTCACCAACACCACAATCCAAAGACATCAGTCCTTCTTAGGTCGTCATTATTCATTGTTCAACTTTCACGTGCATGCCAAATGACTGAAGATACCGTGGCTTGGATTAGGAACACCTTACGGTGTAAAGTGGCATCTTTTCTGTTTAGGACTATGAAAGGCCTTTGCCAGCAGATACAGCCAATGCAATGTGTCTTCTGAGTTCTTAACGCTGCTTCTGTGGGTACTGAGTGTGGATCCGAGTAAAATGAAACAACCTGAAATCCTTGACAACTTCAACTTTTTCTCCATTTATCATGATGTGCGTGGCAACATTGCCTTTTAAAGGATACTATTTCAGCTGTTGTCATGACATGGCTTATACGTTGTCCTTTCTGTTTGAGATTGGACTGTGCTGTCCTGCGTTGGCAAAGACAGCTCAACAACCAGCATGATCCTAATATTTGAGTATTCACTCAGTCCCAGAGCATGTTAAACCCTCATGCTGTTTTATGAAGTAGACAAAGAATGCTATCAATATCTGTGTTTAACAGAGCAGATAACAATGCTTTTTTGTGATTAAAGATAAATCCCCTTAGTAGACTTAAAACCTCCAAACAGTAAACAATATTCACTTGTAATTTCACACTCTAGAGATAACTATTACTAAAATTTTACTATATTTCTTTCCAGGCTTTTTTCTATGTGCATGTTAAGAAAATAGAATCACGTCATATTGTATATTACATTTTATATTTTGGCTTCCCTCCTTTAATAACATAGTCATTTTTTTCCCTAAAAAATGATTTAAGATCTTTTGTTAGGTTTGATTATTTAATAATTTTATATCTTAATTATTCATATTTATGTTGTTAACACTTTTTGCCTTTATAAATAATACTGCGACAAGCACAAGGAAACCTGGTGGCATCCTGTGTTAAAAGTTGGCCTATTAACCAAAAGATCAGCATTTCAAAACCACCAGCCACTCCACAGGGGAAACATGAGGCAGTCTGCTCCCATTAAAGCTTATGACCTCAAATACCTGAGGGATGGGCATCATGTGTCTGATTCAATGGAGCAGCAGTAAGTGTGGTCCTGGTGACAAATGAGCAGACAGGAAGACCTAGTTCCAGTTTGGAGGCACATCTCAGAAATGACTCAACAAATGGTTTGTTTGTTGTTGCTTTTAACAAATTGAATGTTGATGGCAACCTTGCATTAAGCAAACTTATCAGCACCATTTTTCCAATTGTTGTTGTGTACTGTAGAGTCATGGAGAGCAGGGTACTGTAGAGAACCAACCCATAGCTGACCCTCTGGCTGGTTTTCAGAGGCAGTTAATCTTATGGGAGGAGACTGCCCATCGTTCTCCCACAGAGCAGCTGGTGGTCTTGAACTGCTGCCTTTGGGATTGCAGTGTAGCTTCTTTCCACTAGGCCACGGGAGCTCCCTATGCCTCTGTGTTACATTTTTGGTGATTCTCATACTATTTCCTTCTTTTCCATCATGGCACCACACACCTAATAGGCTAGAGTGAGCGTCATGATCACTTTCTATGCACCAAGAAACCAAGAGAATGAGCAGTGCAGGACCAACTCTGCGATATCTCTGAGGCACGCCAGCGCAAGTCTTTCTGCTCCTTGTGACTTCATCTCAATAGGAAAGATTCTAGAAGCAGATGACTTTGTACATTTTTTTAAATTTTGTACATTTTTAAGGATCTTGACAAACGGCTTTCCAGGAAGGCTGAGCTAATTTGCACATTCAGCATTTCATCACTTGCTCACGTGGAGTATTAAGCAAACCAAAGTGCAGGCTTTGCTAACTTCATGCACAACACAGTGTTGCACTTATATTTAGATTTTTCTAGTGACTAGGTTGTGTGCCGTGGCTTCAGAAGCACCCCACAGCTGACTCTGGTGGCTTTTCAGAGGCAGTTAATTGCATAGGAATAGACTGACCCTCCTTCTCCTAATGAGAGCTGGTGGATTTGAACTGCATGCCTTTGGGATTGCAGCACAGTTTCTTACCATGGGGCTACCAGAGTTCTCTCACAATTACTAATGAGCTTGAATGTTGGGGTTTTTTTTTTCATTTCTCACATTTTAAGTTGTCTTCTGTGAATTTATGTTTATTTCTGTTGCTTATTTTTCTATTGTGCCTTAATATTTTTTCATTTATTTTTATTAGCTTTTTAAGTCATGTAATTCATTACATATTTAAGATAATTCCATATCTGTTTTCTTTTGTGTGTTTTTGATATTTTCAGAGTTTAACATTTTCATACTATTAAATCTCCATTTTAATTTTTTCATGGCTTCCTTTCTATCTTTCTCTCATTACGTTCTAGTTAATTTTGACTCACAGCTGACCCTCCACTGGGTTTTTAGAGGCCATCAGTCGGTCACATGGGAATAGACTTTCTTCCTTGGAGTCATGGCTGCATTAGAACCGTCAGAGAAGAGTCTTGGGTTAGCAGCACTACTCAGTATAGTCTGTGCTGCCAGAGCTTTCTGTCTACAGTTCCAGATAACTAAAATTCTCAGCTAATAATCATAAGAATGACTTTTTCTTGTATTTTAAAAAACCCTGATTAAAGAATTATTATAGGATATGATACCAAGCAAAGTTCTGTATTTGTTTCTGAATAACTAGCTATTCCCCTACCCTGTCGTTTTTGAGTACTGTTGAAAAGGAATTGACCCACAGCTGGTCCTCCAGAGGATTTTCAGAGGCAGTTAATCTTGAGGGAGGGGATTGCCCATCCTTCTACCATGGAGGAGGGGGTGGCCTCGAGCTGCATGCCTTCAGGATTGCAGTGCAGTTTCTTGACACTAGGCCACCAGAGCTCCCCTCTACTTACTGAGAAAATTTACTCCTTTACCATTAGTGTTTACAGCTGAGTTTTCTTTAAGATTCTAATTATACTTGAGCCTACTTCTCAGATGTCTGCTTTTCTCTATTTACTTGCACGCTGGTTTTTGCAGGAAACGTCCATTATTTTAAATATACTCTAATACATCTAGCAAGTCTAGTTCTCCTTGGTCTGCACGTTTCTGTTGAATCACATCAGGTGTAAGTATTATTCTTCAAAATACATGCATGTAGGCACTCATAATATGAATTTAGAAATAGAAATATGCCTACCTTTGTGAGGCAACATTAACAGTATGATTTTAGAAATCTAAGTCATTGGAAAAGTTTTTGGAACATTTCTGAACGCAGACATAGAAATTTAGAAGTATGTGAAGAATGTGGTCAATAACCTCTAAGTTGACTGACCCCGTACACTGTGATCAAAGGAAAAACATAGTTAACCTCTGTAAGCTCACCTGGGCATCCCACTCTATAAATGGCCTTCTTACCTCTAACCTTAAAGAAAGAATGGCTAATCTCTAGTTTTTGAGGTCATATTTGTTCTTTTAATTTGAAGCTGCATTAAAGCATTCACATATAAACCCTGCATTTCTGGTCACTCCCTGAGGGAAGGAAGGGGTGACAACTCCCTCCAGGATCTGACTTCCTTAAAAAACCCAGACTCCATCAAAGTCTGTACCTCGTGCCCTAGTTGGGAGGGACTGTGTTCTAGCTGTGTTCTTTGCAAGGCTATTACTGAGGATGAAGGTTTGAAAGCCAAGATTTGGACTCTAGCCACTGAACTAACACTGTAATTGTTCATTCTGATTCTCAGGTTTGAAATGAACATTGTGAGGTCTTCCTCGCATGCTGTGCTATGACTTCCTTGCAATAGACCACATGAGTTTCTGCCATGTCAAATTTGAGTGTTTATTAGTTCCACAGTCTTTTAACTTTCACCAAATAACTAGATGGGATCATGCAAATGAGATACTTGTGGCCCACCAAGAAGATTGGACAGTTAGCCAATAATGCAAATACTGTTCATGGCATCCTTGTGGTGGTGAGATCTCACAAATAAAGTGTATGAAACCCTAAGAAGAGTATTAATTTTGTCGACCTGCTAGGTTTAAAATGAACCATTGTAGAGGTGGATGGAGGGCTGGACTAAGAAGGAAAAAAAAGATGAGAGCACAGTGTGTCCTTTTGATCCAGAGTTCTTGTGCTGAGAACCTCCTAGAACCAAGGGACACAGAGAGAGCATTACGAAACCAGCAATGATGCTAGACAATGAGAGGTAGTAACAGAGAAAAAGGGGCAGAGAAGTAGCAGTGGCCAAGGCAGCATAACCAGAGAGCAGCAGGAAGGAGGATGGTGGGCATCCCAACCCACTGAGCAAGAGAACTGAGTGGGAGGTTTGCTACCAGAATGGAGTATCTCTGGATAATTACTGCAAGAACTAAAGAGTTTTCTAACACTTACCAGAGCAAAGAGGAGGCACAGCTAAGAAGCAGCTGTCCCGACAAAAAAACCCATATCTTGAGTAGTTTCTGATCCTGCATTGTAACCTGTTATTCTAAAAAACCCATAGCCATGAGTATGGTCTGTGAGTTCTGTGTGGCCAATGCAATTAGTTAGCAAACGCAGTAAGAGTGTTGTGGGAGAGATAGCTGGTGTCAGAAAGGATGGAAAGATTGGAGGATGGAGGCATGCCTGACTGCTGCACCCTAGGAACCAACCTTGGACTAGCGACCTTGATCCTCTCTTTCCTTGAAGTTATTGACCTCACCATGCCACTTTTAATTTCCAGGATCAAAGTCCTATAAGATGCTCTTCATTAGTGTTCTTCTTAAAAAATATTTTTATTGTTTCTGCCTGGATTTGAGCTTTCAAACATTTTCCTAAGAGAAGTCAAATGACTTGCCTAGGGGCTCGTGTCTGAACAAAGTGGAAGTGCCACAAGACCTCCTGACTTCCACCTCACGGTTCTTCCTATTAAGTAATCATTAGACTACCCACCCCCCACAAGGAGGTGGTACCTGGTTGATGACAGGCTTGTATTTCAGCCCTGGTTTGTTGAGGATGAGCTCCAGCTGTCTTCGGTTGAAGTTGGACACGCCAAGGGATTTCACCAAGCCAGCATCTTTGCAAGCTTCCAGAGCCTGTGTGTACATATGAACAAGTCAAGAAGTCAACAAGCCTCAAAAGATGCAAGAGTGAAGACTTTGGGGAAGGGTATCTGTGAATTATTTAGGGAGGAAAGTTCCTGAATATGTTAATAGGTATTTGGGGGAGTTTGGTGAGTTGAGAGGGAGGCAGGAATTCTGGGATTAAATGAATTTTGAAAATCTCATACATTGTATTGTATCCTTATGTTTTCACAACATAGGGCAGCATATTAAACATTATCCTACTCTTAAAATATGTTGAGGCTTTCCTTACAGCATATTCACTTGATCAATATTTGTAAATGTTGTGCTTTATTTAAAAAAATTCCATTTTCTTATTTGTGTCTACAATTCTCTAGATAGGTAGAAGACAGAGGAAGTAGAGGGAGATAGATAGATAGATAGATAGATAGATAGATAGATAGATAGATAGATAGATAGACAGACACATAGCAACATGCATAGAGATAAGACTTATTTTAAGAACTGCAGAGCAAAAATTTCAGTTTCAAACCTAGTGTACCTGACTCAAGCCATTGTATTTTCAAATTCTTACTAAAAATGTGAAAGTTGTTCAAGAAGTAAAGACCAGTGAATGACTTTGACTTGTGGTGTTGGCAGAGTACCGAATACCCCATGGACTGTCAAAAGAACAAATCTGTCTTGGAAGAGTCCAACCAACATTCTCCTTAGGAGCAGGGTCAGTGAAACTTCATCTCACATACTTTGGGCATGTTGTCAGGAGGCACCAGTCCTTGGGAAAAGCCATCAGGTTGGGAAAGTAGAGGGCCAGTGAAAGAAAAGATGACCCTCCACAAGACAGACTGACACAGTGACTTCAGCAAAAGACTTAGCCTGGGAGAAATTGTAAGGACGATGCATGATAGGACATTTGGATCTGTTATTCGTAGGGTGACTAAAAGTTGTAGCAACAACACACAAAGTATAACTAACTTCTTGGTTTCTCCAAAACTGAAAAGAATTATGTCCGAAATCTTTCACTATAATGGTGCCTTTATTAATGTTTTCCTGTAACTCTAACAATTTTTCTTTTATATATTTTGAAGATATTCTATTTGTATATACGTTTAAGGTTACTCTATCTCCTTGGTTAATTAAATATATTACCAGTCTTCACAGCTCTGTCTTAGAAGAATAGAAACCAGGGTGCCTCTTAGAGGCAAGGATAGTGAGACTTTATCTCACATATTTTAGGCATGTTACAGGATGGGCCATTCTCTGGTGAAGGACACCATGCTTGGAAATTTAGAAGACCAGTGAAGGAGAAGAAGACTCTCAACAAAATAGATTGACACAGTGACTTCCCCAGTGGGAGTAAGGACAAGGGAGATGGTGAAGAATGAACAGGATCTGGCAATTTTGATTTGTTGTGTACAGGGTCACAAGGACTTGGTTGACTCAATGGCAGGTAATAACTTTATAATCTAACAATATTCTTGATTTCTACATCTATACTATCTGTTATTAATATAACTATAGCAACTTTTTCTGGTATTACATATTTTCCTTTTCCATCTTTTAAATGCAAATTTTACGTGTCCTTATTCTTAGGTATCCTTTATTGTGATGATTATTTTTTTCATGGAGGGGTACAATAATATGCAACTTGTCCTTGTCACTCCCTGACACCCCTTCCAAACCCCATATCTTCTCTAGGAGTGGTACCCCAGTGGGATCTGTGTAGAGGCAAGAGTGGTGAATGGGATTTGACTAGAGGTATCCCTCCCTCTCTGTGACCTGACCCAAAAACCTCCTCCTCAAGGACTTTTTGTTGTCTTTCAGAACGATCAGCATTGCCAATGCCAGTATTTTTATTAGTGTTAACCTGGTTTGTCTTTGTCTCCAAGAAACACTCTAGCTGCACTTTCTCTAAGACATATATATCTGTTTGTCCTTTTGGCAGTCCACGAGTTATTTGTTTTTCCAACGCCACAACTCAAACTTCAAACAAACTCTTGTTTGAAGCAGTTGGATTCTGGAAGGTAGGTTGTGTCAAGTGTGGGCTGTTTGGTCTTTTTTATTTAATTAACAATTGGGTGTGAACAAATTGGTCTTTCTTTTTAAAAAAATTAATTAACAATCAAGTGTGAGCTGTTTAGTTGGGTTTGATTTAATAATTAATAATCAGTTATTGGCTAAAAGCCTTTTATTTAAACTAATTAGGAGCCAGGTGACAAGGCCTTTATGATTAAAAGTTGGTTGGGTTGGTGTGAAGACTGATTTGATATTAGAAGTACTGTCAGTTTGTTGTGTTCAGGGGGGAGAACATTATTCTAATTAGTACAGCACTTGTCTGTCCATTTACTGTATTGAGATAACTTGTGGGTTGCTGTGATACTGAAAGCTATGCCACTAATGTGTCAAATGCAACAATAGTTATCCATGGTATACAAGTTTTAGTACAGCTCTCAGGCTAATACTGACTAGGAAGCAGGATTTGCCATCCACTTTTTAAACAACAGGCCTCTGAAAACCCTATGATTAGCAGAGGAACACGAATGGTTATGTATTAGTGATAGAGCCCAAATTGGAAATCAGTTGAAATGAGGACAAATAATGGCAAACATCCTTTAATAATTGGAACATGGAATGTACATAGCTTGAATGTTGAAAAACTAGAAATTGTGAAAAATGAAATGGAATACTGGGCATTAGTGAGATGAAATGGACTAGCTTTGGCCACTTTGAATCAGATAATCACATAATATACTATTCTGAGAATGAGAAATAGAAGGAGAATGGTGTTGCATTCATAGTAAAAAAAGTCAATTTTAAGTTCTTTCCTGAAATATTATGTTGTGAGTATCTATGCCAGGATGTTTGGAGGACAGTTGTCTGGCCAGTGGATTGGAAGAGGTCCATATTTGATCCCAATCCAAAAAAGGGTGATCTAATAGAATGAGGAAGCTGTTGAGCAATATCACTATCACATGCAAGCAAAATACTGCTGAAGATCACTCAAAAACAGCTATAGTAGTACATAGTTCAGGAACTGCCAGAAGTTCATGCAGCATTTAGAAGAGGCCATTGCACAAGGGACATCATTACTGATGTCAGATGGATCTTGGCTGAAAGAATAGCAGAAGAATGTCTATTTATGCTTTATTGGCTATGCAAAGGCATTTGACTGTGTGAATCATAAGTTATGGCTAATATTAAGAAGAATGGAAATTCCAGAGCACTTAATTGTGCTCATATGAAACCTATACCTAGACCAAGAGGCTGTTGAGAACACTGAATAGATTAAAATGAAGGAAAGTGTGTGTCAGGGTTGTATTCTCTCTCCATACCTATTCAATCTGTATGCTGGGAAAATTATTCAAGAAGTTGGACTCTATGAAGTGGCCTGTGGCATCAGAATTGGAGGGAGACTCATCAATAACCTGTGATATACAGACAAAAAAACCTTGCTTGCTGAAAGTGAGGAGGATTTGAAGCATTTTGCTGCAGAAGATCAAAGAATACAGCCTTCAATATGGATTGCATCTCAATGTCAGGAAAACAAAGATTCTTACAACTGGACCAATAGGCAACATCATAATAGATGGACAAATTGTCAACAACTTTGTCTTACTTGGATCCACAATCAACACCTTTGGTACCAGCAGTCAGAAAATCTCCAACCTTACTATTTGTTTTCTATTTTTCCCATCTACTCTTCCCCCTTTTTCTTCTTTTCCTGGCTTCTTATAGATTTATTTTTATTTTTCCATTTTGCCTCTTTCATTGCTGTGCTAGGTAAAACCAGCCTCTCTTTATCTTTGATATTCTGAATTTTCACTCTAATATGTCTGTTTATTGGCTTACTTTTATATTTTCTTCTTATCTGTATCTGCTGGGTATTTTTTTTTCTCCCAAAACTACTTCTCCTCCTACTTTCCTGTCCTAGTGAGAATCCTTTTGTGTTGTAACTGAAATGTTTCATTTTCTCTTTTATGCCACTTACTACTTCTTTCATTAAAGTTTTCTTCCTCATATTTCCTTCTTCCTATCTGGAGATTTTTTCTTTCTGATCTTCCAATTTTATAAAATTTCTCCTTTTTACCTTTCATACTATTTATTATCACTAGCATATATATTCTCTTAAAAAACCCTCCAACTCATTGCTATCAAGTTGGAACTGACCCATAGCTGACCCTCCATCCAGCAGGTTTTCAGAGGCTATAAATCCCATGGAAGAAGGCTGCTCATCTTTCTCCCTCAGAGCAGCTGGTTCAAGCCTCCAGAGAGTTGCCACCATTGGGTCAGCAGCATGACTCCCTGTGGACTACTCAACCGGAGCTTCTTGTTGTTGTTGTTGTTGTTAGGTGCCATAGAGTTGAGTACAACCCATAGCAACCCTATGAACAATGGATCTGAGCCCCGTCCTATCCCTATCCTTCGCCATCCGCACACACACCAGAGCTTACTACTGTTATTCTAATTTTAGTTTCTTAAACAGTTTTTATTTTATTACATTTTTGATGCTTTTATTTTTTTTAATTTTTATTTTATTTATTTGTGTGTGTGCCATCAAATTGGATCTGACTGATACAGTAGGAGATTGTCCCTCCTTCTCCAGCAGAGCATCTGGTGGATTTGAACCATATACCTCTAGGATTGCAGTGCAGCTTCTTGCCACTAGGCCACCAGAATTCCCTTCTTGATGCTTTTAATATATTAACTGGCTAATTTGGAAATTCTTGGTCCTCATCCCTCAAACAACTACATAGGTCAAATCAACAAGTGTGACTTCCAGGGGGAAACATACAACCACAACCTCAGAAGCAAACAGTTAAAAATGCTTCTTCTTTAATACCTCAGAGTGTTCTTACTGTTTTTCTTCATTTTCCTACTCTTGTCATCTTGGGAGAAAAGCCAGCAATTCAACTAGTTAGTGTCTAAAAAACAGAAGCAGAATTGCTTTCCAGCTTTTCATGTTAAAAAAACAGTTGTTTCTTTCTAAAAATTCCATATAAAGAAACTTTTAAAAATCTGTGAATTAATCACATTTCTAAGTTTTGCAATTATTGACGTAACTTCTTTCCTCCTTTCCAGCCTATCTTCCCTCTTTTCTGTGGGTTCTTCTCTTCCAATTAAAATCAGAGTTGGAGTTTTGAACATCTGTACTTTTTGTTAGAAAAGCCTGTTCTGGCTGTTCATTTCCATTGGTTGTAAAAGCTACATACACGTCACCACAAGTCTGACAGGAGTAAGTGGATCAGTCCTCAAATGCAGTCTTTTAAAACAAGAGGTTCACTTGAACTTACCTCCCAAGTGGCACATAAGTCAGTCTTGTGATATAGCCATTGACCATTCTCGTCTTTAGGGTAGAATTCATCTCCAGGCTGGAAAAAAGAACACGTATGTTTTTAACTCTCATTGTCATCAAGCCAGAACCAACTCCTAGCTGACCCTGTAGCAGGGTTTGGAAGCTGGACAGTACGCCTCAGGGGAGAAGATCTCCCAGCTTCCTCACTTGGAGTCGCTGGTGGATCTGAATGACCAGGGATGTGCAGTTTAGTGGTTAGCAGCACAGTCCCCATGGACTACACCAAGAGCTCCGTTTGTTTCTGTCTAGAAATTGAACTTAGGTCATTTCAGTTGCCAGTATAGCTCTAGTCCTGGGGAAGCCGTTCTCTACTCTTTCTCCAGATTAACTGATCCTGTGAGGTTTGCATGGGCTATTCAGCTTCCACTCTCAGTCATCAGGCCAGTCTATCACCCATGTCCTTGGAACAAAGACCAGAACAGGACCCAAGCAGGGGTAACCAGTATTTCCTCATGAGGTTTCACGTACAGTCTCTTTTGCAAAATTCTCTGGTTGTTCTGACAATGTTGGCTTGGATGACAGCAGTCATTTTACCATCACATGAAAAGAAATTTTTGAGAGTGAAACCAAGCAGAACAGGACAAATGGGCAGATTATACAGTTTTAACTTCTGGATCCTAGATGCTCCTTGAAATTCTTTGATCCCTTTTCACTGAAGACAATGTGAATTGGATCTCAACCATTTGTTAACAAAATACTGACTAGTACAGAGACCTTGGTGTGCTGCTAATGGTAGCCCTAAAAATGTGGAATTAGACAGGTCAACATGGAATTGTGGGAAGTTAGGATGTTCTCACCTACAGCTGTGAGCTGGCAGTTTCTGCTCAACAGCCACCACTCTGCAGTGGGCTGACACCTAGTTAGTCACCACTTTTCTGTCTCTTGGAACTCAGACAATAGGTCAACTCTGGCTGGAGCTTTAGGGGACCAAGTAGAAGAACACTGGGCGTTAGAATTTGTTGGTCAATTTTCAGCCTCTGTTCAAGGCTCATAGGAAAATCGATATATTTGGTGTTAATGAGATGTTTAAAAGCAGAGAGAAGTAAGATGGTGCTTTGCCAAAAGAGGTATTTTCTGCATCTGGGTAAAAATCCAATATGGTAGCAGGTCAGATTCAGACCTTGTAGAGTTGGAAAAGCCAGTGCCAGTGCCAGTGCCAGCAAGAAGATCAGGACCTAGTGGGGAAATAGACTTTCAAAGAACCTACTTCCCAAGGTCCCTGTGAAGCCAAGGGCTTGGCCATTGGCCCTACCCAACCATGGTACTCTGTCTGAATGATCCAATATGAGGTAGACTGTGGCAAGAAACGCACCATCCACCTTCCCACCCCATTCTCCTGTTCAGTATTACTCAAGTCAGAGCTCATGTTGGATGCCACAGGGCTGGGTGGCCAAGCACAACAAGCAGGCTCTTCACCAGCAGACCAAGAAGAAACCCAGTGGCCACGGATTTGATGTAAGAAACCTTATTTTATAAGATTTTTAGCTTTGCTTGCTCATTCATGGTGGGCAGTGAATTTATATAAAGCATGATTTTAGAGGAAACTGTCTTGTCCGTGAACTCCTGACATAACTGAAAAAGGACTATAGTTACCAAGGCAACTGTGGAGTTCTTTGACTCTATGCCTATGTGAAGAAGGGGGTGAGAGGGGAGTTTCCCCAAAGTCTGACGTGATAACAAGGAGAGTCAATTAGTCAACCCTTCCAAAGAACAGAATAGGGGCAATCAGGTACCTGAAGGAATCTCCCTGCAGTGAAGGTCCTTGCTCTTTCTGACCAGCAGCATCTGGTACCCCTGTGGACAAGCAGTCAACCTCACTTCTTAATTTCCACTATGAGATTGCAAAGCAGTTTACTGCTGTTCAGCCATGTATCTTGAGTATATCATTGCGTGAAGAAATTGACCTGGAATCCACACATACAGAAACTGCCATGGAAGACTGCATTTGAACCAGGGGCATAAGCATCTTGATCAACGTTGTGTTGTTAAGTGCCGTTGAGTCGGAGATAACTCACAGCAACACTATGAACAAAAGGCTGAACTTGTATAACTTTCATTGTTTCTCCAAGTCCACAAGGTTTCCAGAGGCAAGCTATTTCGGAAGTGGATGCCACTCCTGCTTCCAAGCTAGTTTAATCGGGGAAGTTCCACTAAACATTGTCCACCATTATCGCATTTGACACATCAGTGTCACAGTGTTCAGCTTCACAGCAACCACGAGTTACCTCTGTACCGCAAATGGACAGACCAGTGCTGTTACCACTTAGAAAAATGTTTGACCAAAAACAATTAAAACCAGGCCTGAGGGTCGCAGACTAAAATCACCCACCTTTGGCTTAGTAGCATCACTTTTTGTCCACGAGGCCAACTGAGCTCTCTCTATGTTAAGTGCCATCGAGTCGTAAACGACTCATAGCGACCCTATGAACGAAAGACCTGAACACTTGTATAACTTTCATCGTTTCTCCAAGTTCATAGCGTTTCCAAAGGCAAGCTATTTTGGAAGTGGATGGTCAAGGAGTGATCCCAAACCCTGACTCTTCTCTGGATTGTCTCTCTTTGGAGCAGTGGAGGATTGAGAACATTTGTTGTTGTATATATTATTAACATATTATGCTGTGTGGAAGCATATTCTTAACTGTGTGAATGGGAATAAGGCACAGTTGCTTGTCAAGGGACCATAGGTTAGTTTGATGGAGAGGGCTAAATTACAGTTGTGAAAACACGTGATAGTAGAAAGTGTGTTGACGACTCAAGAAATGGGCCTCATCTCTCCAGAGACCACAAGAACTAGGTTACCTCTGGCTGCCCACCATTCTGACCAGGGCAATGATAAATAGCCCCAGATAGAAAAGGAGAAAATGAAAACTCTTCCCCTGCCCCCCCAGAAAAGTAAGACTCACTGGCTGGAAGGTTCCTAGTGAACTTTCACGGTCACCATCATGTCATACCATGGGCTGTTGAGTTGGAACTGACTCACAGCTGATCCCTCATCAGGTTTTCAGAGGCTGTGTATTGTATGGGAGGAGACTGCCTATTTTTCTTCTTAGGAGCAGCTGGTAGATTTGAACTAAGACACTTTGGGTTATCAGTTCAACTCCCTACCATTGGGCCCACCGTAACTCTGAAATACTTTTCAAATGTTGAACTGGAACTATTCCTGGAGGTCACTTTTCAACTGAATAGCAGATTGGCTCACAAAATAATCTCACCTATGCCTACTATGCTTCTTTCAAAACAAAATCATCTACATGTGACCATGGTGAACACTTATCCTAAAATAAAAAACCAAAAAAATAAGAGCAGACATGAAAGTAAGACTATCAGAAATGAAGCAGCCAGACTCATAGAATGAGAATGTTGACACCATGTGGGAATGTAACCGATGTCACAGGTTTGAAAATCGGAATAAACCCACTGTCACTGAGGCAATGATAACTAATGGTGACCCTCCATTAGGCAGCTAAGGTGATACGTCTTAACAAGAGGAGATTGCCCTTCTTGGATAAAGCTGTTGGTGGATTCTAATTGCTCACCTTTCCGTTAGCAGCTCAATACTTAAATGGGAGCCCAATTTGCTATGTCAACTTTAACCAAAAACTCAGAAAATATTAGGAAAAAACAAACACACACAGAGCCAGGTTTAAGCCTGCTATGTTCTGTCTTTCTGCCATGCACGGTCTATCTGCCTTGTATGATCTATCTGCCATGCTCGGTCTTTTTGGGCAGTTATGGGGCCGGTGCACATCTCTGTAATCTACGAGAACATAGACTTGACCGTAGATTCCGACAAGTCCTAAGATAAGGACTAGCTTCGCACATGCAGCTGCTAACTTACACCACGTAGTTTGAAGGCCTAATTAGACACCTAGACTCACCTTGAAAGCCATAGGGATTTCAATGATGTAAAGGTCAACATATTCAAGCTGAAGCGTCTTGAGTGTCTTCTCCAGGGTTGGGCGGACGAAGGTGGGCTCATGACTTGTGCTCCATAGCTGAGAGAATAAAGCGAATAAAAGATGGTGAGAAAACAAAAACTGACACCATTTGACAACAGAGAGCTCCTCGGAGGCAAAGATTATGAGGCTCTGTCTCTAACTCGGGGCATGTAGCTATGTGGGGCTCGGAAAGGGACATCATGCTTGGAGAGATGGAGGGTCAGCAAAGGAGAGGAAGACCCTCAGTGAGATGGACAGACACAGTGACTGCAGCAGTGGGCTCACATGTGTCGGAGATGATGAGGACGGCACAGGACAGGGCAGGGCTCAGCTCAGCTGTTCATAGGTTGCTCTGAGTCATACTGGACTCGATGGTACCTGACAACAACAACAACATGTCCTTTCAGACAGCTCGAGGGGCCTAGTGGTAAGTAGCTGTGCTGCAATCTCAGACTCACGCAGTTCGAATCCACCAGCTGCTCTGTGGGAGAAGGATGGGCCATCTCCTGCTGTGCAATTAAACTGCCTCTGAAAACCCACGGGAGACTCAGCTATGAGTTGGTTCCAGTTCAATGACACACAACAACAACACGTTCTTTTAAAACCTATTTTACAGTGTTTTTAATGAAGCGGTTTAGGTGCCTATTCAACAATTTCTATACAAGTCTTTCAATTACTTTCTTCACAATTTGTGAGCACTCTCCTTATTTCTAGCTTGATTGCTCTGTTTCTATGAATCTAGTTTCCCTAATTCCTTATGTTTTTATCTTTGGTTCAAAGTTATTACTGACCATTTATTCTCATACAGGTGATTTTTTTAAAAGGATCACACTCTTTAGGGTGAACGTCATTATTTCATGAGCCCACCCATTATTTAGTGAGAAGATGACCTCAGGAGTTACAGTTGAGGGTTTGATGGGGAAGCACTCTAGTCTTAGCCAGTCTAGTATGTTGTGTGTGTATGTGTGAATTTTACATGTAGGAATTTGAGGTTCTGTTCCGTAACTTTCTCCCAATTTATCAGGATTCATCTATCGTGATCTTGATCACAATGGTGATTAACAGTTGTTGTTGTTGTTGTTATTGTTGTGTACCATTGAGTCACAACCAACCCATAGCTGACCCTCTGGCAGGTTTTCAGAGGCGGTGAATCACAGGGGAAGTGCCCATCTTCCTGAAGTGGAGCAGCTGCCAGATTTGAACCACAGGCCTTTGGGTTGGCAGCACAACTCCTTCCGCCTAGGCCATGAGAACTCTGCCATCATTTAATCTTCTGGGATTAAGGTAGATGATGTAGGGGTTGGTGTGGGCTATTTGCTTGGTAGACTGCTTTTTCTCTTGAGTTTTTGGCTTCCTTCTTCCTCTTTTGCCCTGGATGGCAGGTGCATCCTGGCCCCTTTTCTACCACTCGACTGTGAGTCAGACTACCGTGGCTTGACTGCTGCTGCGATACTGGAGGTTATCCCACCAGTGTTTCAAATCCCAGCAGGGCCATGCACGGTGTACAGGTTCCAGCACAGCTTCCAGACTGAGACAGACTTGGAAGCAGGACTGGCTGGCCATCCACTGCTGAAATAGCAGGCCCTTGAACAGCCCGTGTGTAGCGGCAGACCATTGTCGGACACAGCACTGGAAGATGTCTTCCCCCATTGTCCCCTCAAAGCAGAGGCAACCTTAAATTAACGTTGTGGGTGAACTCCGCTCAGTCCACGAAGGACCTTCATTTGCTGAGGTGGCACGATTCAAAACGAGGAGGAACACCTGCAAACGTCCATTAATAGTAGAACTGTGGGATACACTAAATACCGTTAGGAAGTTCAATTCAGGTCACATGTACAGTTTGGGCTTCCAGGTTTTGTCACCAACACTGTACCCTGAAGTGAGTGCTCTGGCTGGTCCCCCTCGCTGGTCAAAGATTGAATCTGATGGGGACAGCAGGAAGTCGCTCCAAGAAGGCACCAAACAGCAATTTTAATGGCTCCCCAAAAGAGCCACTGCTCAGTGTTGCAGCAGGTATAATGTGACCAGGGTCCCAGAAACCGAATGGCTGCAAAGGTCAAAGACCCCTGACTTGCTCAGAAAGAAGGCAGGGAGAGAAGGGTCAAGGTGAAAGTAAAGATAGTTTATTAGAGAAAGTATATTCCAGAGAGAGGAGTGGGTCACTCTCTGAAGAAAGGAAGGGAATGGAATGGAGAGAACAGTGGGTTGTGAGGGTTAGGTGCTTCTAGAGCCAGTCGGCTTCCTCCTGGAGCAGACTGGACCAACAAGATTGCTGGAGGTTCCCACTCTAGTCCGTGGTGAAGTCACTGATTCTCATGCACCTAAAATGCAAATTAGATTGCTTTGGAGATGCACTTTACTGGGCATGTCAGCTTCTGAGGAATTGGCATGTTCCTTACAGGGTAGGGAGAGGCTTTCCTCCATGCTGGCTGGATAAGAACTGGCCTGTGCCTTTTGCTGGGCCTTTCCCTTTTACGGGCTCCAGCTGTGCTCTGACAGCCTGTTTGGCAAGATGACAGCAGGAGCCGCAGGCACTTCAGGATTTTAACTTTACCTTTGATTCTCCTTCTCTATGTTAAATGATATGCCCCAAATTATTAAACAGCTATCAAACTCCTAATAGTATGAATCTAGGAAAATTGGAAGCTGTAAAATTTTAAGTGGAATGCATAAAGATCATTATCCTAGGCTGAAATGTGAGCTGAAATGGACTAGTATTGGCTATTTTGAATCAAGAAATCATATCATCTACTATATCAAGAATGACAAACCAAAGAGGAATTTGTTAAAAAAAAGAAAACCACAAAACAAACAAACCAAGATCTGTCCTAAAATACAACGCTTTCAGTGATAGGATAATATCCACAAGGAAGACCTGTTAATATGGCTATTGCTCAAATTTACAACAGAAAAAAAAATGAAGCCTTTGAGCATTGTGTTGGAGAAGAGCACTGAACATCCCATGGACGGCCAAGAGAATGAACAGATATGTCTTGGAGAGGGTGCAGCCGGAGTGCTCTGTGGAGGTGAGAATGATGAGGCTTCACCTCACATACTTTGGGCATGTTGCTAGGAGGGGCTGTTCCTTGGAGAAAAACATGATGCTGGGAAGGGTGGGTGGTCGGCAAAGGAGAGGAAGACCCTCAACCAGCTGGACTGACACGGTGACTTCTGCAATGGGCTCTTGTCTGTCAGGAAGTGTGAGGATGGCACAGGATAGAACAGAGTTCAGATCTTTTGTTCATAGAGTCACTATGAGTTATGCTTGACTCGACAGCACCTATAACAAATAACAATAACAACAATAACAAATTTATGCAGAAAACATTAAGCCAAAGATGAAGAAGTTGAAGATTTCCACCAATTTCTGAGTCTGAAATTGACTGAATATGCAGTCAAGATACATTAATAATGATTAGTGAAGAGAGACTGGAGCACATTATGCTAAGTGATCTAACTCAGTCCCATAAGGATAAGATTCTGAGGCATCGTCTAACATACTTTGGGCATGTTGCAAGGAGGGACTGGTCCTTGGAGAGGGACATGATGCTTGGAAAGGTGGAGGGACAGAGAAAGAGAGGGAGACCATCAAAGAGATGGACTGATTCCGTGACTGGGCTAATGAGGGTAGGTGTGTCCGAGATAGTAAAGTTGGCACAGGATAGAGCAGGTTTCAGGGCTATTGTACATAGGGTTGCTATGAGCCGCAAGCGACTTGATGGCAAAGAAGAAGAAGAAGGAGGAGGAGGAAGAAGAAGAAGAAGAAGAAGAAGAAGAAGACAGTTATTGTAGAAATAGAAAGATAACTAGTAAAACTTGTATGAGGATCCAAGGTGGGGAGGAGGGGAACAGAGGGGTGAGGATGGGCAGGGGTGGTAATCATAGGGTCATACAATTTGGTGGGTGGAGGGAGGGGTAGGTAAAGGAAATGGGAACGATCTGGTGTGAAAAACAATGTGTATGAACTTTGTAAGTAAACCAGTGTAAAATAAAGATTATATTTAAAAAAATGGTGAGTGGAATGCAAAAATTGGAAAAAAGAAGAAGGATTGGTAGTTGAAAATATGGGCTTAGTGACAGAAATGAAGCTAGTGATTGTATGATAGAATTTTGTACCATCAATGATTTATTTCTTATTCTACCTTTTGGAAAAAACATAAACAATGACTATATTGATGGAATACACAGGAATCAAAATTACTACTTTGGTGGAAATCAGTGGTGGGTAAGATCAATATCATCAGTCAGAACAAGGCCAGAGACTGACTGTAGAACAGATCAATTACTCACATGCAAGTTCAAATCGAAACGGAAGAGAATTCAATCCATGACAGCCAAAATGCAACCTTGAGTTAATCCCTGAATTTAAAAACCATCTCAAGAATAGCTTTAACACATTGATCACCAATGACCAAAAACCAGATGAGTTGTAGGATGACTTCAAAGGCGTCACCCATGCAGAAAGCAAAGGGTCATTAAAAGATAGGAAAGAAGTGTTTTGCTGAATGGAAAGCCAGTTTGCTCTATAAACTGTCACTCAAATCACAATTCAAAGTTAAAGGGGAAAAGCAATGAAGTACCTGTACATGTTATAAATATGAATGAAGCCTGAGACATTACGTGAACTGAAAGACCACAGGATGTATGATTCTATTTACTGGTAATGACGGAATAGGACACCCATGGAGACAGAAGCCGGGCCAGCCGTTGGCAGGGGTTGGAGGAAGGGAGGTGGGGAGTGACTGACGATGAGTATGGCTGCTTTCTGGAGTGACAAAAATATTCTGAAACCAAGCAGTTGTGATGATTTCACTTTGTAAATGTTTTTTGGTTTTGTTTTTTTTTTTAAAAAAACATTGACATGTTCCACTTTAAAACGGTGAGTTTTAGGGTAGATGATGTATCTCAATTCTGACTCCTGGATTAACTGGAAGAAACAGCCCATCTTTCTCCTGCAACGGCTGGTGGATCCATACTGCTAACCTGTCAAAGATTAGCAGTCCATCAGGCAATGCGCTAGACCACCAGGGCTCTTTATGGACAGGTGTGCACATGCAGGGCTCTGGTGGACTAGTGGTAAAGAGCTGCACTGCCAACCAAATGGTATGCAGTTTGAATCCATCAGCTGCTCCATGGGCGAAAGGCAAGCAACCTCCTGCTGGCAATTTACTGCCCCTGAAAGTCCCCTGGAGGGTCAGCTGCGGGTCAGTTCCAACTGGAAGGCACGTACAACAATACCAGGAAAGGGAAAAGAAGGCTGTTCTTCAAAGACAACACCAACAAATGTTTCTGTAACATGAGTGTGCCGTACCCTTCCACCTAACTTATCCACTGACAGTTTAGACATTGTCAGTGTGACTTTTCAGCTATTGCTATGTGCCATCGAGTTGGCACTGCCTCATAGCTGATCCCCTAGAAGATTTTCAGAGGCTGACGTGAGAGAAGATTGCTTATCTTTCTCCATTGGAGCAGCTAGTGGATTTGAACCACTTTCCTGGACAGTTGGTAACACAGTTTTGTACCATTAGGCCACCAGAGCACCCTGGGATATGAAGTCGTCATAAATTAGCACCTGGAGAAATGACAAAAGTTATACATGTGTCCAGGACTTTCATTCACAGGGTCGCTATGAATCACCTACGACTCGACGGCACTTAACAACAACAAAACAGCATATAGAGAGAGAACAGTTGGCCTAGCGGACAGAAAGCCATGCCCCCGAGCCAAAGGTGGGTGACTCTACTCCGCAGCCCTTAGGCCTGCCTTTCATTGTTTTCGGTGAAACATTCTTCTAGGTTGTATGACCCTGGTGTGTCCACTTGCTGTACAGAAGTAACTTGTGGTTGCTGTTAAGCCAAACACGGTGACACTGATGAGTCAAATACGATAACGGTTACCCGTGGTGGACGGATAACGTGTTTGGTGGAGCTCCCGATTAAATCAAGCTTGGAAGCAGAAATGGCATCCACTTCCAGAATAGCTTGTCTCTGGGAAACCCTATGAACCTGGAGAAAGGACAAAAGTTATACAGGTGTCCAGGACTTTCATTCCCAGGGTCGCTATGAGTCACCTAAGACTCGATGGCACTTAACAACAACAACAACAATAACAAATCAGCACCTGTGTATGAAGAAGCAGCTGACCTGAGAAGCTTATTGACTTCTTGGCTAGGCACCTCGGTGGCACAATGTTGAGTGACTGCTGCAAAGAAAAGGTTAGTGGCTGGAATCCACTAGCCACTCCCAGGAGGAAGGCAGAGCACACTGCTGCCCACTCTGTGGCCACTCTCAGGGGGCTCTGCTCTGGCTATAGGTGGCCTGGAGTGAGGATCTCCCAGGGCAGTGGGTTTATGCTAAGTTCTTGGCAGAAGCAAGGGCAAAACAAAAAAGAAAAAAAACAAAAAAACAACAACATAACGCATTTCCAAACATTCAGCTCCTACCCATAGCTGTCACACAGATCAGAAATACCCTGCAGAGTTTTGGGGTCGCTGACCAGATGGAGATCTCTGGTGATACAGTTCGTGACTTCTCCGGGTCAGCCGTTCCAATCCACTGGACGCTTCTCGCTCCCAGGGGCCACAAGGGCGATCTCCTCCCCTTAAAGAAGGGGATCCGATGATGGGAAACCGATGGAAGGGTCCATGAGTAGCGAGAAGCTGCTTTACTTTCTGTGGACAAAAGTGAGCCCAGCACCTGCGCGTCCCCTCGGGGCTGGCGCCTGACGCGAACTCACCTTGCCGCAGTAGAAGATGTCCTCCCTGCGCACCTTTCCCTGCGCGATCTTCTCCCGGATGGCCTCCCCCACCTCGTGCTCATTGCGGTAGAGATAGGCGCCGTCGATGTGCCGATAGCCCACGTCTATGGCTGCCTTCACCGCAGCCACACAGTCCCCCTTCTTGGTCTAAAAAGAAGAGGGGCGCAGGGGAGGAGAAGCAGGTTTGTGACTGTCACTGGCCGCACTTCTGCACACAATTCTCCTTCACTGCTTTACAGCTGCTGCTGACTCGAGCTGCCGTCAGGGGTCCCTATTCCATGCACAAAGGAACAGAGCTTGCCCATGCCACCTGGTGATCAGCTTCAGATCAGACTGCAGCCATCCACAGGCTCTTTAATGGCTCATTTTCGGGCCTGTATTCCTCGCCTGGCTTAGTCTGGAAGCTCCACCAGAACGCGTCCAGCCTCCCAGAGGCACAGAAGCTCCACAGACATGCAGCTTCACAGGCTGCACCGGCCAGCATGGGCCACTGTGTCTGCTCGAAAGGTGGGAATCTACCTTTGAATTTCCAGGGCTCCCACTAAGCACTTAACCTGCTGCTGTCTGGTCGATGCCCAGCCATACTGACCCTGCAGGTCAGAGTGGCATGGCCCCATAGGCGTCCAGAGGTTGGGATCTTTATAAGGAAGCAGATTGCCATGTCATTTCCCCCAGGGTGGTGGGTACATTCTAATCACCAACTTCTCTGTTTGCGGCTGAGACCTTAAGGGCTGTGCCACTGGGCTCCGACTAGGCTCATGGTGTTTCAGGGTGGTTGTCTCCTACTAAGCACATGTGTCTCAGATAGTCTCTGAAGGAGCCCTAGAGGTCAGATCAGTGGCCTAGTGCTAAGAGGATGTGCTGCCAGTCCAAAGGCATGCAGTTCGACTCCACCAGCTGCTCTATCGGTGAAAGATGGGCAACGTGCTCCTGCTCGATGTCCTGCCTCTGACAACCTGCCCGAGGGCCAGCTCTGAGTGTACTCCGTGGGCCATAACAAGTCAGCCATGACTCCTAGTGACACGACGGACAGCAGAACACAGCATTGTCTGACCCGCCACCATCCTCATAATCTTTTTTTGCTTAAACCTATTGTTGCTACCACTCAGGCCACAGTCAAGAAACAAACCCAGACCCCTGCCCTCAAGTCGGTTCCCACTTAGGGTGATGCCCCCCCCCCCCCCAGATCTCCAAGGCTGTCCAGCTCTCTCCTGAAAAGCAACCAGTGAATGGATTTCATCAGGTTCAACCAATGACTTTTCGGTTCACAGGTAGAATGTAACTCCTCGCACCACTAAATCCTGAAGCACATGTCTCTCTCATCGCTGTCACATCTGAAGCAGCTCAGAGCTGACTCAGAGAGCGTGTTCAGAGGCATAAACCACATGGGAGGAGCTTGTGAATTTGAACCCTGTGCCTTTAGGTTGGCAGTGTAACCCCTCACCCACTAGACCACAGAGCTCCTAGGCACACATTGTGGTCGTGAGGTGCCATTGAGTCAAGGATGACTCATAGCCATTCTACAAACAACAGACGTGAACTTTGTGCTGCCTTATGCCGTCCTCATCATCGCTGACATAGTGGAGCCCATTGCCGTAATCACTGTGTCAGTCCATCTTGTTGGGGGTCTTCCTCTCCTTCGCTGACCCTCCACCTTTCCAAACATTCCTTTCCAAAGAACAGCCTCACCTAGCAACACGTCCGAAGCATCAGAGATAAAGCTTCATCATAGTTGCCTCCCAGCAGCACTCTGGCTGCTCCAGGACGCAGTACTCTTCTCCACATAGTTGTTGCTATGTGCCACAGGGTGGACTATGACTCACTTATCAACAACAGCCCTGAAACGTGCCCTGTTCCGTGTCACTCTCTTCGTCTCTGACACACCTACTCCCATAGCCTTAGTTACTGTGTCAATCCATCTCATCCAGGGTCTTCCTCTCCCATGCTGACCCTACCACCCATATGGCCTTCTCCAAGTACGAATCCCTCTTGTTCAAAGTATGTGAGATGGAGTTAAAAAACCCTTGCCTCCAAGGAAAACCTGGTTTCGTCCTCTCAGGATAGACCTGTTTGTTATCTTGACAGTCCATGTTGTTGTTGTTGTTAAGTGCCATCGAGTCACCCCCAACTCATAGCTTCCTCTCTTGCACTGTCTCGCCACCCATCCAAGCATGATGTCCCTCTCCAAGGACTACTGCCTCCTTGCAACATGTCCAAAGTATGTCAGACGAAACTTCAGAATCCTTGCCTCCAAAGAGCAGTCTGGTTTCACCTCCTCTAGTATGAACCTGTTTGTTCTCTTAGCAGTCCATTTAATACTCATCTTAAGCACCACAGCTCAAAGGCACCAATTCTTCTATCATCCTTAGTCATTGTCCAGCTCTCTGATGCACAAAAAGTAATTGCAAAGACCATGGGTTAGATCAGGTGAACCTTAGTTTCTAGACTGACATCATTGCTCTTCAGTACTCTGGAGAGGTCCCTGACAGCAGATTTTTCCCCATACAATTCATCTTTTGATTTCCTGGCTGCTGATTCCAAGAATGTTGATTGTGGAACCAAGCAAACCGAAGTTGTTAACAATCTCAATCTCTTTGCTGTCCGTGATGTTGTGGCTGATCCTGTTAGAGCTGTTCTTCTCTTGCATCAGGGACCCCCATGGACAGAACTCCCCAAAGGCAGCCTCTTTCAAGAACAGAGACACAGAAAGCATTAGCCACACAGATGCTGATAAGATAAGGTCCACAGCAATGCAGCCTAACAGTATCTAGAACCAGAGGCCATACCTTCGGTCAGTGTCAGTTTGCCCATTGAGAAAGATACACATGAACTTAAGTGTGTTTACTTACAATTTTAATTTCCTCCTATTTCATCAGATTTTTTGTCTAAGTCTGGATGGCATCTATCTTTCTCCTAAGCCCATAGGATCATCCTACAGAAGCATAGCCTCTCTCCAAATGTGTAATACTTGACTAGGACCCTGGGACAAGGCAAACAGGAGCTGACCTAACTGACTCTCTGATCGATAGTGTATTTTCCACTGCCTCGAAGACCTGCTCAACCCCGTGAGTCTGCTTGTGGCTTTCTCTGTTTTTTAGACACTCTGTTTCAGCTTCAAATCAAAGCTCCACCCCTTAACTTGACCACTTTTGTCCCTCAGTTTCTGCATCTATAAGATGGAGTCAAATGGTGTCTATTTCTGAATGTTGAGTGAATTAAATTAGAAAATGCATGTAAGGTAAACCAGTAGAAGAGTTGTGTAACTGTTGGCTATTATCATGGTTTCCTTGGGCACTTGATACCTAGTGATGCCCACATACATGTATATCTCCTGTCATAAACCGAGTCACCAATATGTCCCCTTACACTGTACACTGTCCTGGGAATACAGAGTCCTGGGCTCTTTCTCTGAAGTCCCCTCAGCCCCATGGGAGAAGAGTGGAGAAATACAGGCTGATCAAAGTGACGCGCTCAGGAGCTGGGTGAGCACCCAGGAGGTTGGACGATGACTTCTAAGAAGAGTTCCCTTGGTTCACTCCAGCATTTCCAAGTACGAGTCCATCACTCTCTGCCCTTTCCATGAGGCAGCCATCATGGACTTGACCCTTCCTGGACAGACCATAATCCTGGTGCCTAGAACATCCTGCTCAACTCCTCTCCTCCTTCCTGGCCAATTCGTCTCCAGCTTTACAGGGTCCATTCAGATGTGACCTCACACAGCTCAGCAGCATTCCCACCATGGCACCCGTGACTCTGGTAACTAAAAGGCACCACCAGCTGAACTGCTATGAGGAACATAGAAAGACACTTCTTCTAGCTGTCACTTTATCACACTTGAAACAAAACCCACTTCAATCAAATGTGATTGCTCCCTTACCTGGGTTTCCAGAGAGACGCTCTTTATAGTCCACAGGTGGTCCTTGCTCTTCTCTTGGGTGTTATACAATTAGCTATCAGAGTCAACTGCCTCTGCTGGGTGTTTAATCTCCTGGCTATGTTCTCTTCATCACTGATGCTTTTAAGCCTTTGTTGTTGTTGTTATGTGCTGTTGAGTCGCCTGCAACTCATAACAACCCTGTGTACAACAGCCCTAAACCCTGCTCTATCATATGCCAATCTTATTGTCTCTGATATACCTAATCCCATTCCCCTGAATCAATCCATCTCATAGAGGTTCTTCCCCTCTTTTACTGTCCCTCCACCCTCCCAAGCATGACGTCCCTCTCCAAGGACTGGGCCCTCCTTGCAACATGTCCAAAGTATGTCAGACAAAGCTTCACAATCCTTGCCTCCAAGGAACAGCCTGGCTTCACCCTCTCTAGGACGAACCTGTTTGTTCTCCTAGCAGTTCATGGTATATTCAATACTCCTTTCCAGCACTACAGCTCAAAGGCATCAACTCTCCTTCTATCATCCCGAGTCATTGTCCAGCTTTCCAATGGATAGCAAGTAATTGCAAAGACCATGGCCTGGATTAGGTTCATCTTAGTCTCCAGACTGCCATCATTGCTCCTCAGTACTTTGGAGAGGTCCCTGACAGCAGACTTTCCCAATGCAATTCATCTTTTCATTTCCTGGCTGGTAGTATCAGGAGTTTTGATTGTAGAGCCAAGCAAACTGAAGTTGTTAACCATTCCAGTCTCTTCACCATCCATAGTAATATTGCCAATCTGCTCAGTGGTGAGAATCTTTGTTTTCTTGATGTTGAACTTCAATCCATATTGAAGGCTGCAGTCCTTGACCTTCTGCAGCAAGTGTTTCAGGTCTTCCTCAGTTTCAGCAAACGGGGTTGTGTCATCTGCATAACACTAATTGTTGATGAGTCTACCTCCAAACCTGATGCCACTTTTCTCCTCATAGAGCCCAGATTCCTGGATAAACTGTTCCACATATAAATTGAAAAAGTATGGAGATAGGACACATCCCTGCTGTATACCCTTCCCAATTTTGAACCATGTCATGTCTCCTTGTTCTGTTCTGACAACTGCCTATTGGTCCAAGTACAGACTTTGCATAAGCACAATCAAGTGTTCTGGGATTTCCATTTTGTATATAGTATAGGGAGCTCTGGTGGCTTAGTGACAAGAAGCTACGCTGCAATCTCAAAGGCACGCAGTTCGAGGCCCCTATTGCTCTGCAGGAGAAGGTGGGGCAATCTCCTCCCATGCGATTAACTGCCTCAGAGGGTCAGTTTGGCTCAGATTCCAATTCTATGGAATACAGCAGCAACAACTGTGGCTTTGTAGTAAAAAGTTGCATTGACAAACCAAAGATATGTGGTTTGAATCTACCAGCTACTCTTCAGGAGAAAGGTGAACAATCTCCTCCTGTGAGATTTACTACCTCTGAAAACCCCCTGGAGGGTCTGACTGGATGATGCACAACAACAGCAATAACAACATCAAGCATTTGTTAAGGAGCCAGGGGGGGTGTGATGGTAAAGCACTTAGCTGTTAATCAAAAGAGGAGTGCTTCAACTCTACCAACTGCTCCAAAGAAGAAAGCTATGAAGTTGCTTCTGTAAAGAAGCCACTTGGAGACCTTGAAGAGCCCTAATGGTATAGTGCATAATGCACTGGGCTGCTAGCCAAAAGGTCAGTGGTTCGAATATACCAGCTTCTCCACAGGAGCTGGCTGGGCAGGCAGCTCCTCCTGTAAAGATCTGGGCCTTGGAAATCCAGTGAGGGGTCACTCCACGCCAGTATTAGCGCAACGGGAATGGGTGCAAGGCTACTATGAACTGATTTGACGGGGCAGCAAACTGTTGAGACTAAATAAGAAATAGAAACTGTAAAACCATCACAAATCATAAGCCTCCAAATTCCACATGTCTCCCTTTAATGTAGGGATCAACATTCTCCTGAATCAGAAGAGACAACAACCCCAACAACAATATCAAAGTTCAACAGCAAATGCTGGCGAGGTTGTGGAGAGATTGGAACTCTCACTCACAGCCGGTGGGGATGTAAAATGGTACAGCCATTATGGAAGGCAGTCTGGCACTTCCTCAAAAAGTTGTAATAGAAATACCATTGCACCCAGCAATTCCACCATTGGGAATATACCTTAAAGAATCCAGAGCAGTGACTCAAACAGATGTACTCATGTTTGTTGCTGCTTTGTTCACAGTAGCAAAGAGATGGAAGCAGCCCAAATGCCCATCAACAAATGAATGGATAGAAAAAATATAGTACATTCACACAACGATGCATCATGCACCATTAAAAAACAATGAATGCCTAAAACATTATACAACGTGGGTGATCCTGGAGGACAATATGCTGAGTCAAATATCTCAGTTACAAAAGGACAAATACTGCATAACATTGCTGTTGTAAAACAGGACTGACGGGGCGGGTTGGTGTTGGAGGGTAAAAAGAAAAGAGTGGACAGATAATGAACACTGCATTAGCACAGATGAAGGGAAGACCTACCTGAAAGAAATATATGATTAGACGTTATGTGTATGACAATGATCTGGAAAAAGAGAGCATTGAAGAGTTTACTGGGAGTGGGAGAGAGGAAAATGTGCAACAACGAATGTATGAAGACCCAACCTTCCTGTAAGCTTTTGTTAAAATCACAATTTATTCTTTTTTAGCAGTGGTGTAAGTACTTGGGTTTTTAAAAATTATTATTAATTTTAATGAAGGTTTACAGAGACTGAGGATTTCCATTCATTCATTGTTGCACTTTTCTCCGTGCCCATCCCTCCCCCCAATTCACTCTTCTCTTTGAAAAGTAATTCATTCATTGTTATACAGTCCCTCCCCCCAACTCCACTCCACTATGCAGCCTTCATTCTGGACTCCTGTCATGACAATAATACCTAATCACATATCCCTTTTAAACCCTTTTAATCCTTTCCCTCATCTGTTTCAATGCAGTATAAATTATTTATTCCAACTTTCTAAGTCTCTCCCCAACCCCAGTGTCAGTCCTGTTTTACAATAGTGGCACTATGCAGTATTTGTCCTTTTGTGACTGAGATATTTCACTCAGCATAATGTCCTCCAGGGTCACCCATTTAAAATCACATTTAAAAAACAACAACAACAACAACAACAAAAAAAAACCCACAAAACACTAGGAGATAGAAGAAACATCCTGTTCATGAATCCAAACTCTTTTTTTTTTAGAATTTGAAATTCTATTCTGGACCTTCACCATTTGGATGAAGATTCTTTTTTTTTTTTTTAACTTTCTACTAGTTTATTTACAAAATTATAATACATTGTGTTCAAAAACAAATTCTTTCAATTTCTCTCACTTCCCCCCCATCAAATTGTACAAACTGATGATTACCCCCCCTTTCCTCATTTTTAAGGAGAAAACTAAGCATTATAGGAACATTTGTGGGGCTACTTTACCCTATGGTTTAAGGTCCACTTAAGCCAAAGGTCATTCATTCTTGAAGGTTGACGATAAAAAAAGCAATCAGTGAGGTGCCTTAGAAATGACGCAGAGGCTACGCTTTGGGCAAGAGAGGCAAAGAGAAGAGGCTGTGCTTACTGCTAGAGGCTCGGAGTAGGTACCCAGCCCGATGATGGGGATGCTGTTTCCGTCATTCAGGCATATGCGATGCTTGGCCGCGCTGAGGTTCATTCTGCCGAGAGGTAGAGACCGTGGTGGCTGGGAATGACTCTGAACGCCACACAGCGGGTTTTTCAGGAGATGGTCAGGGCCAGAGGGAGGAGTTGCAGGAGGCAAGAGAGATGCAAAAGATCTATTTCCCAACCTGGTCTCTTTTTTTTTTTTTCAGAGAAATTCGAACAGCAGTTGACCTATGAACTCCATGAGACTCAAGTAAATAAAACATCCAGTTGGGAGCTTCCATTGTCAAAGATTGAAAGACATGGTTAGACTTTGGAACCAAATTCAGTTCCCCTTGATTAGCTAAAATGCTTCTGTTGGCAAATCACGGACAGGCCATCGATCTCTTAAGCCAGAAAGGACGTCACTTGCTTTATGTTTCTGAAAGCACCAGCTTTCGGGCTGGAATCAGGTGAGACCAAGACACATACAGTTAAGCGTTGGACTGCTAAAAAAAAGGTTGGTCATCCAAACACACCAGTTGATGTGACAGTCTGTTTTCCAAGTGATTGCTGTTGTTGTTGTTATGTGCCATCGAGTTGCTTGTGATTCACATTGACCCTATGTACAACAGCCCTAAACCCTGCTCTATCCTGTACCAATCTCAGTGTCTCTGACACACCTTCTCCCATTACCTCAACCACTGAATTGATCCATCTCATTGAGGGTCTTCCTTTCTTGTGCTGCCACCTTCCCAGACGTGATGTCCCTCTTCATGGACTGGTCCCTCCTTGCAACATGTCCAAAGTACATCAGATAAAGCTTCAGAATCCTTGCCTCCAAGGAACAGCCAGTTTCACTCTCTCCAGGACAAACCTGTTTGTTCTCCTAGTAGTCCATGGTATATTCAACACTCTTCTCCAGCACCACAGCTCAAAGGCAAATCCCTCTGAGTGGTTCCACTCTGTCCTACAAGGTCACCATGAGTTGGAATTAACTCATGGATGTGAGGTTAAGTCAAGTCTAACCAAACATTTCCAGGACCTCCCTGGGGATGAGGATGGAATAGCCCTGGCATGAAGTCGGGTGTTTTTGTTCACCCAGGTCAGTTTGAAAGAGAGTGGCTCAAAGGCTACCTGTGACCATTTCTCACTCTTAAGTACATCTCTCTTCACTGTCTGATTTTCATACCATACTCAGAAAACCCTCCTGACTGAAGAATGGTGGCCAGTAGTCCCTGGAGTAGTCCTGGAGACAGAGCTTCAGGTTGTAATTTGTAATTCGTAATTGAGACAAGCTCAATTACAAAGATTGTTATGACTTCACAGCATAGATTTTCCTCCCCACTTTTTATTGAGTACTAATACTGTTCCGTAAAGCTATAACCACTTTTCAAATTTTTATGCGGGTGTAGTGTCCTTTTGGAAGCAGGAGTGGCATCCACTTCCTAAGCACATGCTTCTAGAAACTCTATGAACTTTGAGAAACAACAATAGTTATGAAAGGTTTCAGGTCTTTTGTTCATAGGGTTGCTATGAGTCGTGTTTGACTCAACAGCAATCAGCAACAACAACAACAGCGTGAATTGGAACAGACTCCGCTGCAGTTGGCTTAGTTTTGTTGTCATGGAAAATGATGCCGTGGAAGGGAAGGTAAATATGAGACAGCCCTTTTGTAAGCGTTTTCTTCTTGTGGTTGTTATTATGTGCTTTTGAGTTGCTTGCGACTCATAACGACCCTATGTATGTACAACGGCTCTGAATACTGCTCTATCCAGGGACAACCTTATTGTCTCCAACACACCCGCCCCCATTACTCCAGTCACTGAGTCAATCCATCTGATGGAAGGTCTTCCTCCCTTGTGCTGCCCCGCCACCCTCCCAAACATGACTTCCCTCTCCAAGGACTGCTCCTGGCGCTTTCTTAGTTTCTGTGAAAGCTTACAACACTCCAGGTGCTACTCGTCCACTAGGCTTTGGGGAATTGTCTTTGTGGGCTTTGTTATTGTTCTGTACCATGATGTCAGAACTGACTGGTAGCTGACCACCTGGCAGGTTTCCAGAGGCAGTTAGTTACTCACATGGGAGGAGATTGTCCACCCTTTTCTTGTGGAGCAGCTGGTGGATTCAAACTGTGTGCCTTAAGGATTGCAGTGCAGCTTCTTGCCACTAGGTCACCAGAGCTCCCTTCTTTGTGGACTAGGTTATGCTAGTTGACCTTAATGTTTCATGAGACTATAGTTCCAAGCCCTAAAGCCAGCAAATTATTCCGTTAGGGTTGCTGTTATGATGAAAAGGCTTACTTAACTCCATCTTCCCTCACTCGCTCTCTGAAAGATGTCTTTAAAGTCAGGATGGACACAAATGTAAAACTTCTTAAAGGAAAGAGTAACTGCTCTAAGCTTCTCATCAGAAAACAAAAAGCTGATGCAGCTGAATGCTGAAATTATCTAACAATATATTATATCATTAATGTCACATGCAAGTTAAATCTTGATGAAGATTATTTTAAAAGCTGGAACAGTACGTAGACAGGGAAATAGCAGAAATTGAAGCTAGATTTAGAAAAGGTCTTGAAATAAGTGATATCATTATTGATGTCAGATGGACCTTAACTGAAAGTAGAGAATACTGATAAGTTGTGGATTACATTGAGAAGAATGGAAATTCCAGAACTTAATTGTGCTCATCCGGTCTGCAGGAGAAATTTGGGCAATTTCCTCCTGTGTGGTTTACTGCATCTGAAAACCTGCTGGGGTGTCAGCAGTAAGTTGGTTTCAACTCTGCAGCACATACCAATGACAAGTGTGCTCAGGGGAAACCTGTACAATAGATCAAGATTGCCGTCCTTTGAACAGAACACGTGGACACTGCACTGTTTAAAATCAAGATAATGCACATCAGGCTTGTATTCCACAACTACTCAGGATGTATGCTGAGTAAACAATTTGAGGAGCTGGATTGTGTAGAGAAGGAGAGGCATCAAGACGGGAGGAAGACTCGACAGCAGCCTGTGTTAGGCAGGTGACACTCCCTGCTTGACGAATATGAAGAGGAATCAAAGCACTTATGGAAGAAGATCAAAGACTATAGCTTCGAATATGGATAACACTTCAACATCAAGAAGACAAAAATCCTCAGCAGGACCCATGAGCAGCAGCATGTTAGATGGAGAAAAGTTTGATGCTGTCAAGGGTTTTATTTCACTTGGATAATCAACACCACCGGTAGCAAAGACACAGTCTTTGCTGTGGAGATAGAACCAACTCATAGACGACCCTCCAACAAAGCCTGTAAATTGCACGGGAGGAGACTGACCATCACAGAGCACAGAGTCTAATGGCATCAGCCATAGGGAGTTATTTTGTTAACACTGGTTGTGGTTGTTAAGTGTTGTCCAGTCAACAACAGTTTGTAACAACCCTATGAACAGTAGATCTGAACCCTGTCCTATCCTGGGTCATGCCAACCATTTCTAGCCCACTCCAGCCCATTGTTACAGTCCCGTGTCAATCCATCTCATTGAGGGTCTTCCCCTCCTTCACTGACCTTCCTTCACCACCTTTTCAAGCATGATGTCCTTTTCTAAGGATTGGCCCCTCCTAATTATATGCCCAAAGTATGTGAGACCGAGTTTCACCAGCCTTGCCTGCGAGGAGTGCCCTGGCTGCACCTTTTCTGTGGCACACTTCTTTGTCCTTCTGACAGTCCATGAGGTATTCAGCGTGTCTCCCCAGGACCACAACTCAAAGGCTACAGTGCTTCTTCTGCCATGCTTGTTCACTGTCCAATTTTCAGCTGCATAGCAGGTAATTGAAGAGATTATGATTTGGCCCAGATACAACTAAGTCTTCAAATTGCTATCATTGTTCTTCAGTACTTTGAAGAGGTCCCTTAGAGCTGAATTTCCCAATTCAACATGTCCTTTGATTTCCTGGGTGCCAATGCCAAGGAGTGTTGATTGTGGATCCAAGCAAGGTGAAATAATTGACAATTTCTATCTCTTCTCCATCTACTGTGATATTGTCTACTGGCCCAGTGAGACAGATTTGTTTCCTTGATCATGAGATGTAACCCATACTGAAGGCTGTAGTCTGTGAGCCTCTTCAGCTAGTATTTCAAGTTCTCCTCATTCTCAGCCAGTAAGGCTGTATAATCTTCATGATGCAAATTGTTGATGAGTCTTTCATAACCCAAAGCCCAATGCCATTGAGTCAGTCATGACTCTTGGAACCTCTCCATTGTGTTTTCACAGTTTTAGGAGAAAGCCTGTCCTTCTCCAGCACAGCGACTAGGAGATACAAGCTGTTGACCACACACTACCCACCAGGACTCCTTACTGTTGTTTTCAGTGTCCCTTTATTAATCTATTAATGTCGCTGGTGATATCCTTGTTTTATTCCTGATCCTGGTAATTTGTTCTTCTCTTTTTCTTTGTAGAGTGTTAACAACCTTACCAGGGTGCACTGGTGGCCAGTAAGGAGTTGCACTGCCAACTCAGATGCAGGTGGCTTGGATCCACCGATTACAGCCTAAAAGAAAGACAGGTTATCTCCTCCCATGTGATTTACAGCCTCTGAAAACCCACTAGGGTTTTCATAGGGTGAGCTATGAGTCAATTCTGACTTGAGGGCACATAACAACAACATGTACTTTATTGACTTTTTTTTAAAAGCTAGCTTTTGGTCTCTTTGTTTCCATTAGTTTTCTATTTTTTACTTCATTGATTTCTACTCTATCACTTCCTTCTATCTGCTTGCCTTAGGGTTATATTGATCTTGATTTTCGAGTGTTTTTAGATTACTGATGTGCATCTTTTAAAAAATATATAAGCATTTAAAGATTTAAATGCCTACTTAAGCTCTGCTTAGTGACATCTCATAAATTTTGACATGCTGCATTTCCACTCTGTTAAATAACTGGTATCGTTGCTCTTGAGTTTTTCTCTTTGTTCTGTAGATCTTTTAAAAAGAACAGGTGGTTTAATTCCTAAGAATTTAGAGATCTTCCTGTCACTTTTTAAAAATTGTTTATTATTATTATTAAAAATGTACAGATATTTTGGCTTTCCAT